TCGTGGGCGTGGGGGCCGGGGCCGCAGGGGGGGGGGCCCCAGGGGCCCCTCTGCAACAGCAGAAAGCCTAGATGCTGAGCTTGAAGCATACATGGGGGAGGAAGCAGTTAAAGAGAGATTAGATAGAGACTTAGAGATGTACTTCCACGCAACAGCGCAGCAGCAGCAACCTGCTGCTGCGGGTGCAGCAGCTGCTGCTGCGGTACCCACATCTTCCTCCGTACCCGCAGCCAACCCTGAACAAGACGCAGGACCCAGTAAGCCACTTGCTGCTGTTGCTGCTGTTGTTGTTGCTGCTGTTGCTGCTGCTGCCGTTGCTGCTGCTGCTGCTGCTGCTGCTGCTGCTGCATGCTTGATTGCGGAGTGTATGTGCTGCACAGGCGCCATGGAGGTCACAATGGAGAACTCAGCCCTATAAACTGCAGCAGCAGCAACAGCTGCTGCTGCTGCAGCAGCAGCAGCAGCAACAGCAGCAGCAACAGGCACTTGTCCTCGACTTGCTGCTTGCAGCTCCCGAGAGGGAAGAGGGAACGAGGGGCGAAGAGACACCCGGCTGCCCTGCAGCGCCTGCCATGAGCGCCAGCAGCAGCAGCAGCAGCAGCAGCAGCAGAGCAGCAGCGGCGGCAGAAGCCGCAGCAGCAACCGCCTCCGTAGCAGCAGCAGAAGGCGCAGCAGCAGCAGCAGCAGCAGCAGCCGCATTAAAAACAATAGTAGCATTACCCGTAGCAGTAGCAGCAGCAGCAGCAGCAGTAATAGCAACAGCAGCTGCTTCGTAAGTTGGCGAACTAAGCACAGCAGGAGGATGTGGGGCCCCACACCCGCATGCTTTTTGTTTTGTTAAGGGCCCTCCCCTTTATCTTGTTTCTCTTCACTCATATCCGGGGCCCTCAATAGAGTGGCCTTTTAGATGCCTAAAGGGGGGGTCCCCCAAGGGGCCCCCCCCCTCAAGGGGGCCCCCTAAAGGGGCCCTTCACGGGGGCCCCCCAAGGGGCCCCCCAAGAGGCTTGTCATGGGGGCCCCCAAAGGGCCCCATTAAGGGGGGCTCCCAAAGGGCCCCATTAAGTGGGGGCCTCCAAAGGGCCCCCTTAACGGGGGGCCCCCTTCAGGGGCCCCTCAAGGAAGACCCCTAAGGGGCCCCTTAAGGGGGGCCCCCAGAGGGGCCCTTTAAGGGGGGCTCTTGAGGGGGTAG